AGTCGATTCGTTTTCCCCCTCGTTAAAGTCCTGCTGCGTACGGGTCGGTGTGTGTCAGTGAGGTGTGGCAGTGTGGGCATTTTAAGCCAGCTAAGCACACAAAAAAATACTGTGCTTACATGTAGTGCCAAGGGGCATGCGAGTACCTGAGGGAGAAAGGAAATTGAGAGTTGCTGTAAGGTGGGACTACTAATTGTCTTCTTTTACTTATGCTTTACTGTCTTACACGTCCTACTGCACCGCCAGCCGGACTGTCTGCACGGTTTCTTCCTCCCTGCTCCTCTCTGCCCTCTTACCTGTCTGGCACCGTGAGTATCGCTGAGGGTCTCTGGCAGAAAGGGAGTGAGGGAGGTTTGTGCCACCTCTCTCAGCACAGCGAGCGCCTCTGCGGCATGCAGTCCCTGTGCTGCTCCTTGATGCTGAGCCAAGTGGTGGGCTCAGGAGCCACGGCCTCTAAAATCGGCAGAAGTGCAGTCTGTGGATAGCAAATCTTAAGCTCTCTTAACTGTCTTGAGTTTGTCTGAGCTTGTCATTTAGCTGCTGTTGTGTAGGGGTTTACGTGTGTCTACGCAGGTACTCAAAAAAAGAGTATACGTGTGCAGGATATGTAACCTCAGTAAATCCAAGATATCAGGTGGACCCAGCAGATAGCTTCAATGCAGTCTCCCAGTGCCTTCTGAATCCAAGAAAGCAAAACCAGAAGTTGATTGACAGTGAAAACGTTTTCTGACAATTTTGAGAACTAAGTACAAACTGTGCAGGAGAGTTGGTAAATGTATTCCTTAAACCTATTTTAGAAACATTTAAGAAGCTTGCAGTTTAAGTAAAATACAGAAACTAATAACAGAAGATGGACATTCTGTACTTGCTCTTCTACTTAATAAATGCTATGCTGTTGAGCCTATTCTGTAACAGACTTGCTCCATAGTTTTGATGAAAACCAGTATAAAATAATTGTAAAGATAAACCTGCTAAGCCAACAACAGAAAAAGCAAAACAAAACCTGACTGATGGTCTCATAGATCTTTAACAATGCACCCCACCCACTGAAAAAATAATCACTGAAATCTTTAAACTTCTTGTAGTTTTCACTTAGTTCTTCCTGGGTTTTGTCTTTGAAACTTGTGGCTTTGTCTCCTTTACAACTTAAATATATTTTGTGTATAAATCTGATAATATTTTTTATATTGAAAAAGAGAAAAAGTGAGTAAGTTTCATTCTACATGGTTCCTGCATCTTCCTTTTTTTGCATGCATGAACTTTGTGAGTGTTCATGTTCACCATATGAATTAAATATTGGAGTAATTTTCAGTATTATTTTAGTGCAGGTTTGCTCCACTACTAGTCACAGAGTGAGACAGGTTTTTTTTCGACTGAGGTACTTACAGGAAATTTGTTGTATCTCTGAATATTCATTATATTACTTTCTCAATCCTTTGGTGAAAATACAGTAACTTTCTCACAGTCACACAAATGCACACACTTACGACTTCTAAATACAGTGACACAGAACATTTTAAGAACTCAGATCAGTATCTTGAAAGGGTTTGCTGTCCTCTTTTTTTCTCTTTTTTCTCTCCTTTCTTCTGATGCAGGAAGTGAGAAAGATTATTTACAGGAGAACTTTGAATGTTCATAATGATCTGCATTCTTCCTCACTGAGGTTCAAGGGCTGGAGTATAGCTTTGCTTCGGTTGCTAAGGATGACTGGGTCAGAGAGGACCACTTAGTACTTCCCTTGCTATTAAAAAGAAGGGGCAGTTCAGGTGATAGTGCTGTTCAGTGTTAGCATTACCAATCTGCATTTTCTACAGTGTTTTGTTAGGCTTTTTGTTTCTAAAGCTAGGTACAATGCAGGAATAACCACATACGCAAAATATGGGATAGGGGGTAAAATCTTTACAGGAAAAAAGATCTAGTGTTTATGGTGGATTATAAACAGAACCTGAGTCAATGAAGTCTACTCTTAAGAAAAAAAAAAAAGTCAAACTTCCTTCTGGCACGAATTACCAGAATTAGAGCCTCAAAATGTGCATGTTGAACTGCAGTAAAAAACGCAGACCAATTGGTCAGATTTCACAGGAGAGTGGTAGGACCTGCAAAACGAGACTTGAGGAGACCAAGTGAACCATTTGGTCTTATTCTAGAGAAGGGGTAGGGCAAAAATCTTAACATTTATAAAAGGCAGTTCCAAGAAGAAAAGGAGTATCTTCTTGAGTGTAAACTGTTACGAGGAAAATTTAGGCTAGAAAATACACAATATTTTCTAGCAGGTTAGCAAAGTGAACATATTGGATGTTTTGGGTTCTGCTGAACTTGATTTTCAGGACTATGAAACAAAATGTTTTCCTTTTTCACTTTAAGGGACCATTATGTTCAAAGACATTTATTTACTGATCAGGAAGTATCTTGTGACTTCAAAACATCAGTGTTTCACAGTTGCAATGTGATATTTCTTTGTTTAACATCATAAATTAGGTGGTGCATTTCTTCTAGATCAGCATGTTAGCTTTTCTGATGAGGAGGAAGAGGAGATAACCAATATGGAATTGATTTATATTTCTTCATACTCAGGAAAATCGTGAATCATGTTGTTTTCGTTGTGTGTAGATGCACTGCTAATATAGTCCATGGAAACTGTTATATAACTGAGAGAAGGTGAAACAGTCACTCTAATCATGTTTGAATGCAGTCAGAGCTCATTGCATGAATGAGATTATTTGGGCCTTCAGTTATTTTTACCCCGTGTATCAAAAGGCAACAGATATTCTATTGCTGCATCTCCGAAGGCTGTATTTAATGCAGTGTATCAGAAGTAAAATAGCCAGTTTGTGTAGCAATGCCAGAGAAGTACAAGATTTTGTGTGTTGTTATGAAAACATCTTTATATCTCTGTAGTTTTCTTTTTCTTTTTTTTTTTTTTCCTCCTTGGCAGATCTTGTGAAATTAGCAGGGCTCCTGTTGGTATCGTTGGCTGCTTGGTACTTGGGATACTTATTTGCTACTTATTTGCTGCTCTTGTATCTGAAGAGACAATAACAACTTCTATTGCTCATCTTAAAGACATTGGAAAGAAACCAGTGTTGAGGGGTGTGTAGTTGTATTTCTTTTTTCCTTATACTATATCTAATGTTGTGTATTTACATGGTAAATGATAAACAGCTTGTTAGCTAATAAATGATTTGGCATCTCCTATTGTAAGAATTAAGTTGGCTGTGTAAATTAATTAGTGCAAGTCTGAACTATTTCTTAAACACTGTCTTTGAAAAAACACAATGTCAGCCTGTATTTACTAGTATGCAAGTATAATTAATTGAATAGTAATGTAAGAACACCTTACTTGTTTGCTGGCATATAGGCACAAAGCTGCAGTTTTGGTTCTCTCACATGTATTTTACAATTATGGTAAAATGTTGAATCACTAACCAAACTTTGTGATTAAATTCTCATTACATTTTCCCTCTAATCTGACTGGGTGATTTAATGTGCACATTTTTCTCATTCTGTGACTATGTTATTGTGTGAAAAGGCCTTAAAATGAGAATGATGACTATTAACTTCAAGCTATTGGTAGGAATCCTTCATGCCTCTAGCTCTTGCTTCCTGTTAAATGAAATAGCACAAAATAATTACTCTAGATTCAAATCAGATCATATGATATGGGGCATTTTTCCCTAGATAAGCTTGCTTTTGGTCCGAGCAGCTGTTTGAAAGTCAGTGATAATTTAAAGCCCAGGGAAATCTGTGATAATGTTGCTATGATACTGGAAAACTGGCAGGATTGAGTTCTGTGTTTATATGTTTGAGCTTAGCATGTTGACATTAAGAGATTCTTTCCGTGTAGAAATTGTTTATGCAGCATCCAAGAAAATATTTTCTCATCTTTGTTGTTGTAGCCCCAGTCCCAAAAAGGCAGAAGTGTGATCACTGGTCTCCCTGCTCACCTGGGAACTACGCCTATCGGATTCTTAGTGGTGGTGGCAAAGGAAAGCTAGCTAAAATTTGTTTTGAGGATGAGCTGTGAGTACCAGTCTAACTTTAAATCTAAGCAAGTGCTTTGTAGTGTGGAAGAAGGGTGTTTCATTTTGGTTCACCAGCAGTAAGTAAGCTCCTACCAGGGGACTCCTATTCTGGTGATAAAACTCAGAATTTATCTGACAGTATTTAATTCTTCTTTTTTCCCCCCACCCTTTTTTTTTAATATCTAATCTTAGGTTATTTTCTTTGTTCCTCTACATAAGCTGCATTCACTGTTAGTTTCAAGTATGATTTTTAATTTTCATGGTTTGGGATGCCCAGTTTACAGTCTGTTGAATGGTCAACACCTTCTGAAAGTCAGGTTCTTTCATGGCTTTTCAAACTGGTAGATATAGTCCACACAGAGTACTGCCACAAAACCACATTTTATCTTGGGGGGGGGAGGGGTTTATCTTTCTGGCTGCATTTGTACAAAGTACTTTCTTGATCTGGCTCATTTTGAAAGACTCATTGTGCATTGTTGAAGGAAATTGACTGATATAATGAGCAAGATTTTTAAGCCATAGCTCTTGTTTACTACAAAGTCAAATTAAATTGTCCCTGCTCATGGCAGGGGGGTGGAACTATATGATCTTTAAGGTCCCTTCCAACCCAAACCATTGTATGATTCTACAGCTGAAGAAAACATGAACGTCAGAAAGTGACTTAACATTGGTGAATATAACTTTGGATCAGAGCTTCTGGACAGATGCGTTCTACTGATACTGTATTTATTTCAATTCCAGGCTTATTAGCGAAGAGAAGGGTAATGTTGGAAGAGGTATAAACATTGCCATTGTGAATTGTAAGTAAGAGAAACAATGTTAGAGGCATACCTTTGCACTGCAATAATTTATAGTTATTGGGGTGGGGGTTTTTGTTGTTGTTTTGGGTGGGGTTTTTTTTACTAGCTAGTATGGAAGGAAAGGGAAAGGAAAACATAGCAAACTTGATTCATGATAAATGTAAGAAAAACAAATCTGTGTTTAAGAGAAATAGTCTTCTGGATAAACAAGAGAAACATGTTCATAATCAGTATAAGACAATAGAAAATGTGTACATAGAAGCAATATATGAAGAACTGCTTCTTATGTATCGTAGCAAAAATATCTGTAATGTCCAGCAGTAAGACTCAACTTTCAGGTTCAGTCCTTGATAAAAGGTATCTACTGCTCCACTGATAAGGGGTGAGCAGTAACTGAGAGTTGCATTTCTGCCCCAAGGTACAACCAAGGTCTTGGTCAATGGACAGAAAAATAAACTCAAAGCTTGATTAATATTAAACTGTCATCATATGTCTTTGCTTACAGTAGGAACTACTGTAAAGCAGAAGGTGCTGTTTATTCCAGATCTGGAAGCATTGTTTTAATTTAGATGAATGGGAATGGTGATGAAGAGCAGTGTATTCAATAATGAATCCTGAGAAAAGTGAATGCCTAAATGTTGTGGGAGAGGGGAAGAAAAGGAGTTCAGATGCACAGTCAAGTTGTCTTTGAACATAGAACACTTAGGTTATTTTTTTTTTTTTTGTCTCAGTATTGCTAAGCAAGATCTTGACCTTATCTAAACTTGAATGATTTTACTGAAGTCACTGGGTTAAATTACCATAGATGAGAATCTGTTCCAAATTTTTTTTTTTTACCAGTTAACTACTGCAATTTTTTTTCCAATAAGGAATCAGAAAAACTTTACTGGTTATGATAGGTAAACAGTTAGAAATGAGTTTTCAGCATACAGCTGTAGAGTAAGAGGGCAAATACTCATCTTGAATGCATAAGCAAGATTATAGCAAGTAGGAGTAGGGAGCTAGCATTGTCTTTGCATCTGACATTAGCGTGGAAAAACGAAGCGATGTATCAAATTTTACACATTTTTAAATAGCCATTTCCTTCATTGCACATACAGTCATTTTAGCTGCACTTTCATTTCCATCTGCAGGTAAAACTGTCCATTATCTCAAACCAATTTGTAGTGAGACATATTTTCTACATGTCCTCTAATTAGATCAGTCAAGCTAATGACTGTGCTCACTAAGCTTCCTATGGTGTCACACTTGTATTTTATTCCCAAATGATAACTCTTTCTTCTCTGAATGAATATGGTCTTTTGTAAGAAGGAAGACAAAACTATTAAGCCCAAGCTAACCACACAGAGGGAGAGAGAAAGAATTTTGTGGATTTCTGCTGTCCTCACTACAGCCTTTTCCATTTTTTGTGATTTCTGCTCAGAAGAAGTCCAGTTCTAGAATGTTGTTTTACCACTGACAGATTTTTGCCACCTTTTCCCCTCATCGGCATGATAAAGCTGCCATTTAGAGTCCTCTGTTCAGAAGAATTTGCCTTTATGATTTTACCACATATGGATCAAACATAAGCCGGAAGGGAATCAGGAACTGCTGGATCTTCGCACTAGAAATGAGCTGATGCTAGAAAAGACCCTCTGACATAGCAGGGATCCAAACAGGGTCTTGGATAACAAAAATTGGTTAAGTCAATTGCAATAGATTTAGAAATATGAGAAATATTTCCAATTGTACATGTCTTGTTTCAACAAAGATAACCATCTAAACAGCAGCATAATTAATGATGAATATTGACCAAAATGTTTTGGAATTAGTAGTCGTTTGCATGCTTAATTTCTGATATGGTAATGACGAGCATTGAGTTTCTGTCCGCTAAGATTCAAATTGTATGAAAGCTTGCATATCCGAAACACTGCACAGAATAGTATTAAGCTTATTCAAATAGTCTTAGGCTTAACCAAGGCTTAACCAATTTTCCTATTTATGGTTGTGACCTAGTATAGTATACATAGATATAAAAACATGAAAGCACACAGTAGACTCAATTCTTTAAAATAAAAAGTAATAAAAATGGTTTAGTCACATTTGATGATTCAGAAACTACATGAAACAAAATATTCTCCATAAATCTTAGTCTTACATTATTCCATATTCCTTCCAATTTAAAAACTGAAACAAAAGAAAACTCAGAAGCCAAATAATACACAAAATTAGAGATGCCTAGCTGTAAACACTGCATATGCTGATTGAGTTTAATAATTTTTGTTCATATTTACACACCTCTTTTTTATTACAGATAAAACAGGAAAAGTTACATCGGCAAATTTTTTTGACATGTGGGAAGGAGGTAGGAAAAAGAGTGCAATAGAGCTTTTGTTAGTGTTTCAGCTTTAAGAAAGGACTTACATTTATGTAATTATCCTGCTCTTTCGAATTACTATGATTGTATTATTGACAGGCATCAGCTAGAAACAAACAGCTGTTGTCTTCATAAAATATGCTCTGGCCAGATCTGATGACAAATTTTGCCTGAAAAGCTGAATTTCTTCTGTTGGTTGAGATAGTTCATTGTCTTTTTTTTACATTGTCTTGCTTTTTTTTTCTTCTTAATTGTCACATTGCAATTTTATAATTGTCTTCTTTTTTTTCTCCATTATTTCAGTCTGGTAGGAATAGCACTTCACCAGGTACACATCCAGATACTTCACTCAGCAAAATTCCTTTTCCTGATGCATTTTGTTCTATTTTAGTTGTAAAATCATCATTGGAAGTATGCTATTCTGTCTCTTAACATCCCTTCAAGTAGCTGGAAAGATGATGATCTTTAAGAATAGCTTTTAACACACTTTCCAAACTTTGAACGATATCGGTTTCCTTACCTATTAGTAAGGAGAAACAGAATGCTATGAGGCACTGGAAGCTGATTGTCTGACCACTTAAGAATGCTTGTGACCTTACGTGCATGAATAGAAATCTCATTGGGACTAATCATGGGGCTACAATTTTATATACGGTGTGTAGACTGTAATGTCTCCAGGGCTCCTGTTACATTTTTTTTGTATGGAAAACAAGTGTCTTGTGTATGTTTAGCAATTGCAAAACCAATAAATAGCTTAGTGCTGCAAATAGGCTACCACTTAATGAAAGTGGGTGGTACAGTGGGGTGTGTAACTCAGCTCTGCAGTTAGCATGGTCGTAGGAAGCTCACAGAATAGCAATGAATTCTCCTGGGCTATTCCAAGCTTTGCTTGCATGTGTAATATTATGTGAGGTAAATATAAGAAATCATCTATATACTTAGCCTGGGTGTAAATGGCTTTTGTAGAAGTTCAGATACTACTGGGAAATGCAGATCCGTCTGTGCTCGCCTAGCCTTCAGTGAGAGCTAGCAGCCTCCTGCACCTTTCAGGATGAGGCCCTCTGCCTGTAAACAGAAAAATTGCCTGATTAGGTCTCATTTTGAATAGACAAAGCCAAAAATTGAAAACAAGGTGAAAGTAGTTGGAATGTGATATGTGTTTAATAGATAATTGGTTCTGTAATTGCTTCAACAGAGCACTCTGAAGAGATGATGGCTTTCATTAAAAACGCACCAGAAGGGTCCCTCCTTTTGATGGTGACTCATGATGATGGAAGCACGCGGTGAGCAAGTTATTTATGACAGGCTGAGGACCAGAGCGCTGAATAGCTTGAAAATCACTATTGCATAGTGGTATAAAGGAATGGTAAATTTCACTCTGCAGTCAGGGTTGTTCTCTCAATTCCTGCCTAAAAGGTTTAGATTCCATGTCCATTCAGTACTTGCCCATATCATGCTTGTTGATGCTTCCAAAGATGGATAGACAGCGTTATATCTGTTTTAAAGCACCAGTTGTCCTCATGAAGGGCATTGCTGTTACCTCTGGGTCACAACCTTCTATTAAGAAGGTTTCCACGCCTCCAATTATAATGTACCTAGTCTGCATTCCTTCTTTACATCTTAACCTGATTCTTCAAGTGCTTTCAAATCTTAGGGGTTTTTTATTTGAATTCATGATAAGGTAATTATAAAGGGAAAGACTTAATCATTTGGTTGATAAACATTTGATGCCCTTGTTCTTATTTAAGAAGGCTTGAAACATGAAATAGTATTTTAGATACATTTTTCTTTCTGCTGTGCTGTTACAAACAGGTTGTGTTAACATCAGGAATGTAGAGAGGAGGAAGAAAAAGAATTTTGCTCTCTGAGTTTAATGGCATGCTGCTAAGCTCTCAGAATATTTTAAACTTCTCTTTGTTGCTTCTGCTGACCTACTAATGTGAAGCATGAATGAGGTGTGTTCTTTTTCAGCATTTTTCACGTCCTGAATTTTTAATGCTTTTTTTCACTAAATTTTCCTAGGTTGAAAAATGATGCCAAAAAATTAGTAGAAGAGCTGGGAAGTAAAGAAATACAGAATATGAAGTTCAGGTCAAGCTGGGCCTTTATAGCTGCCAAAGGCTTCAAGCTGCCAGATGATATTGAAAAAGAAAAGGTCAGGTTCATTTTATTTTCACTTTGTCTGTATATCAGGTATAACCTTCAGGTGCAGATTTTGTGGGTCAGCTGTAATAACGGTAGCCTGTTCAGCAAGCCTCAGTTGTACAAAGCAAGTTCTCTCATGTGTCATCATTCTTTGCTTTGGACCTGGGCCATGTGCAGTGCTGACTTCCACCACACCAGCACTAAATCGTATGTAGATAAATTTCAGAAGGGACTAGTGATTCTAGAGAGTCTCAGTTTTGAAACGTCCAACCTGACATGCTGTACAGAGACTCATACTTTCTCCTGGAAGGACAAATCCCAAGGACTTACTAAAAATAAAGACTTCTTTTATATGAAAATTGGGCTGTCTCAAATTAGCTGTGCAAATACAGCAATGCTTGCTTCACAGAACTTTCCTGAGTAACTTGCCCTCAGGCTTCAGGAGGACTAAAGATGCCACTTTTATATCAGATTTCTATTTGCATCTGTGACCTTGTATTCGCTTTCTATAAGCCCAGTTGTGCTCATCTGTATGACAGACAGAAACGAGAAAACCCAATACAGAGGTCAGTTCCCTTGCTGATACTGACTCCCTCCAAAGGCATGTGAAGCTTCCATAGTTATTTTTTTCCCTGAATATTGTTGCCATCTTTTTCACATTACAAAGCTTCTGCAGGTAACAGGTATTCAGTTTAGTGTAGATTATGACAGCCATCTGGGAAATAAATAAAGCACTCTGTATAAGAGAGAAACTGGTGGAATCTTCACCCATTATGTTGAGCAAGATGTGCAACATGCTACTTAGCTTCCCAGTCCTACTCCATTACCCCCTTCTGTTATATGAGGTTTGACAAACCAGTTTGTAAATGGTGAACCAAATGTTGATCATTTATTTATTTTTAACAGATAAACTACTCTGACAAGAAGAACAACAGATATGGTGGCTGGCCAGCTGAAATCCAAATAGAAGGCTGTATCCCAAGAAACTTGATCTGAACAAATGCTTACCTCATTAATAAAGATGATTCTATATTTTTGTATTTATGACTGTAGTAAATTGCCTCCAGAACCTAATAAGCACCTGGACACTAATTGTGAAATAAGTCATATGCACAGTTTTTAACCTTTCTTTCCTCTCTGAGGTTTTACTCTAATCTGAAAACAAGTAAGTATTTTGATGACAAGTGGAAATAAAATACTCTGGTTTGGAATTACAGTGTTCAGGAAGTCAGTCATAAAATGCCAGGATTTTTGAAAGTGATTTTTCATTGTCATTAATAATTTTACTGTTTTGGGTTTGTTTGTTTACTTGGTTTTAGAATGTGTTTTCTTTTAGTTCCCTTTAAAGGCTAATACACAAATAGAACTTTGTCTAAATTCTAATATAAAATCACTAGCAATAAAGAAAATTATTTTGATGTTAGTTTATTAGTAACCACTTCTCTTCAGAAAAAGTATGGAAATAGCAGTTACATTTGTTGAGCTGGTTTTGGTGATGTTGACAACATGGAATAGCAATGTTAACATGTAAAGATCGAGTTACTTGAATTATTTTACCGAATTTAAGCTGCAAATTGACATAGTTTGTTTTAATTACTTTTTTCTTCCTGTAAGTTACTTTAAAAAGTGTTGTGACCTTATGCAAGCTTAAGTGTTATTCATGTTAACTGTAGAATCAAACAGATGATTGTAAGGAAATGGTAGAAGCCATTTATTTGATTTCCCTTTTTCTGAAGCACATCACATATGTCTGGACCTGCCTTTGGTGTTTGTCCCCCCCTGTTGTTCAGAAGCCACCCATATAGCAGATTCCACAGCTTAAGTTACTCCCTGTAGCATTTCACTGTTAGTCTACTTATTCCCCAAAGATACTGAATTAACCTAAAAGGACCAAGGCAATTACATGGAGAATAACTCATCACCGTTCTTTTTATACAAATGCCTGGTGGAAGCCCTTGCAGCGATGCTCCAAATCTCTACCCTTGTCACAGCTGCCGCTGCGTACTTGTAGTCACTGCTGTGTGCCCAGCAGCTTTCTGGTATCGTGTCCACCACCGGTCTCTAAAGCTACCAGTCCCTAAAGTTTCCTGCTGCCAGTCTGTGAACTGTTCCATAGCCCAGGGAAGCTGCCAAAGCAAGCAGCTAAATTAGTTTGACTCAATTTGACTTTGGCAAACTCACAATGGTTGCTCTTTATCACCTTGCTACCGATGAGGTGGTTACAAATTGAGTACTTAAATAGCTGTTTCAATGCTTTTTCACATCTAAGTCATTCTTCTTTTGTTCTTTTTGCTTGTTCATCCTACAAGTTGTGTAGGGTGGTATTTTACACATCTAATAGTAAATGCACATGAACTGTTGTAACATGCTGAACTTGGCCTCGTTCTTGAAACCTACTTGGTTTGGATGGGAGACACAACGTTTGCTAGTAGTTGCAGGCTAATTCACAGTTAAGAAAACTTGTCTACACCTGCTGCTGTTCCTTACACATGTTTTAGCAAGAGGGGAGAGCTGTCATAGGCGTATAGCTTCCGTGTGAGCCTGTGGTGGGACAGAGCTTCTGTGCTTATTCCTCGGGAGGTTTGAAGCATGGGTTCCAGGTGCCTTGTATGCGCTTCCTAGGGACGGTATAGCATTGCAGTGAGATCAGACCTCTCCTGTGCTTTGGATAAAGTGACCTAATCAACTGAACGTTAGCGTTCCTGTCATCCAGGTCAATGCCCAGGTGTATGGATTGTCTTTATTTTCTTAGGTGTTCGGCTTCATGTTGCCAATAATTGATTCAGGCAGTTTTCATGTTACTGGCAGAACATTTATTCCTTTACATTGTGATCGCTCTTTGTTACATGCCTGAATTATAAAAATAACATAATTACAGTCCTAACGGCCAGCAATCTGCGGAGTGCCAAGCTCCAAGGCAGTCCTTGAACTCTGTGCAGTCTGACAGTCATTGCCTTCCACTCCAGGCCACAATTAATCTTACATCAATTACAATTAAATTTTACATCAATTTCTATTTAGCAGTTACCATGAAGTGTGCAAGTACTCCAAGTACTCCATTCTTTACATTCACTCCATTCTTCACACTCTGTGCAAGTACTCCATTCTTTACAAATGGTCAATAGTAAAAGGTGCAAACCTGTAATCTGAATAACACATCAAACCACGGAGAACCTTTCACAGCACAAGTCCCTGCAAAATGTTCTTTAACTCCACTGCGTTTTCACTTTTTCAGAGGTACCATTGAGTCATCTAGACAAGAGTGTTAAAAATCTGCAGTGCTGAGTAGCTACCAGCTTTGGTTTTCTTTGCTCATGCCACAGTGTTTTAAGTATGGTAGGTAGAGGAGCCTCAAGGACTTTGATAACTCTCTGATCTCAAAAAATCATGGAAAAGTGGTCACCTGAGCGAAAAAGGTGCCACTTTTTCAATCACTTTTTAGAATGGAAGCAATCTTACAGAAAGTTGGTTTGAAAGTGGGATTTTGACTTTGCACACACAATTTGAGCACTTTTAAATGAAGTGCCTTCTAAGTAGGAGTGAAAAGCTTTTTCATGGACCTGCAATTCTGAAAAATTAACCTGAGGAAATGTTAAATAGCTTTGGATTTAAAAATAATCAAAAGACCAGCAAGTTAAACATTTAATTTTATTTGAGGGTGAGGCCCTAGGGTGTAGGATCCCTAATGCAGATCTCTTTCCTTACCTTCTCTGTCATGTGCTCTAGACCACCGGCAAACTTGAGCGGTGGAGGTCAGTGCTGTCAACGCCAGGTGATGCTGCCAGTCACAAGCAGCGGGCAGGAAGCGATCTCCTGGGCCGGGTAGGTGCTGTGGTCTTCACACCACCTTGTGAAATACTTCTGGGTGATTAGCACAGCATGTGGGGCCACCACCACAAAATGAGGTTAATACCTGCAGGGCAATTAATCTTTTTCTAAACCCTAGTAGGCAAATCCAATGGGAGAACGTGAGCTTCAGGCAGTAGCGTTACTCAGGGCTTGGGTTTGTGTATTTAAAAGCAAACCAGCGCAGCAGGTGGCAGCAATGTCTTTCCAGATCCTCTGCATCTCTGCAACCACTATGCCGTTACCTGTCCTGGACAGGTGGAAGCCACAGACACGGGTGGAGGTCACCCTGCCTTTCGCTTGTGGCCAGGAGGGAAGCCGGCAGCTTGTCCTCTAACGTGCCAGACCTTCCTTTCCTCAGCTTAGCCAGTGGCAGGCTCCCATTTCAAATAGCCCCACCAGCACCAGCTTGCTGGTGGGCATTCCTCACAAGAACATCTCTCATACCCCCTGACCATTTAAGTAGACATTTTAGATAGAACCAATTAGAAAAAGTAGCTATCATTCCCGCTTTTTCCCTCCAGTGCGAACATGACAACCAATCCCATAAAGAACAAAGTACCCGGACAGAGACCCTTTTTTATCTCTCCATTTAAGAGAATGTGAAGCGTTTCAGGGTCTTGGCATGCCTCTTAAAAATCCCTGGATCGCTGTCAGTCCAATTTGATGGCAGCGGTAGGAAATATTGACCAAATAATAGGCAACATTTTCAGTTTCTCAGTGAAACCTGTTTCTTTAAGTTCTTTGTGTAATATTATCTACCTCAAAGTGGGAAGTTTCCACTAGATTTAAAAGAAAAATATAAGAAAGGAAAAGTTCTTCAGTGAAAGATGCCCTTTTACAGGCAGGCTGTGCTTAAAGCAAAACTCCCACTGACTGCAATCTGCTCAGAAGAGCAAAGGGAAGCTGCTGCTTTTGCGTACACATAACGCCTGGTGGGAAGTAATATATGAGTGTCGTATCTTTGATCTGACCTTAGCTGCAAACGAAATGCTGAGCAATGACTGGAAGTCGGGGATTAAGGTGGGTGGTTTTAAATAATGTTTGAGTAATGGCAGCTCCTCATTTCCTGGGACTCTGAAGTTTCGATTTCACTTCTTTGCTGGTTTTTTGTGTTGTTTTTTTTCCTTTCGAGGGGTGATTTTCAGCAGCATAGAAAATGTAAATTCTCCCCCTTCAAATACAAATTTTACACTAGCAGCTCTATCATGACTTTTTCCCTCTTCCAAAGATGAGAGCATATAGATAGATGCTTTAGGCTGGCCCAGTCTCCATTGCAGGTCTTTTTAAAAACAAAAAAAATACTTTTTAAATAGTCATAATTCAACCAAAAGCAACAGACATTTCAACCTTGTACTTCTGAGATAAATCTAGTGTGGTTATGCTTTATATAGCTGCTTTCTCTCTCCTGGACATTCCCGACCGGAGTTCTCGGGAACGAGACTGATCTTCTACCCTCTCCCCCAGACCAGGAGGTCTATGACAACCTGGACTTGGAAAAGAGGAATGAGGTCTTGAAGTAAGACTTTCCAAAGGGTTATTAGTTATAAGTTATAGTTTGAGGTCACCTCTGACTATAAATTCCAGTTTTGCTCCCATCCTGGTTCACTGAATAGCATTGTGCTACTTGATCAGATATTATTGCCTGCAAGGACTAGAAGTGGAAGAATTGGAGCTTACGTATCTCTGGATTTTGCAGCCAGAGCAGAAAACACCATGTACAGCTAGTTTCTGATTTTCCTTCTGTTAACTTACAGGATAGAATTGGAGCCCAGGAGCAAAGCTCTGCTTTCTGTGAGACTTGTGTCCATCCCAGTGATCCGTATCTCTGGATGTTTAGTTAACTGCTGAAGTCTCTACTTGCCACACTGCCACTCACCAGCTAAGGAAGCATTCCTTGCAGCAGATGAACAGGAGCTCAATGGTCCCAAATCTTTTGACTGAAAATCCCCATCGTAACAAAAATAGAAGAGAAAGACCACTCCTCCTCCACCCTCACCTCCTCCACATTCATGAGGGAGATTTCTATGCGATGTGAGGTACTTCTGCCTGCTGCAGGCACAAGGCAGCTTGAATGGATTTGTTCCTTCCACAAGAAACCTTCATGCCTAAGGGTAAGTCACTTCTGCAGTGAATTATTGCCTGCTTTG